GTTTTGTTCGCTTCCCGTCGATTATTATGTTCGACGTGCCTGATTATTAATACTGCTGTATTTTTCAGGTCTTCCTCCGAGTAGTTCCTGGCGGTCCTTCGGCGCGATCCCACCGCTGCCACCAAATTGTTGTGTGCCTCGGGAGAGACACCAGGGGTCGCGCCAAATTGGGATGGGAATCCGGGTTGTCAGGACTTGTCGGGTGTTTGTAGAAAATGCACTGCACTTTTCTTATTAAAATTCTTTATTCAACTTCAATCTCTTGGCCTTTATTTATTTCACTAATAATACTGAAGCTTTACCGGGTGTGCGGCACTGACTTTCTGTCACTCCGCGTATCGCGCACAACTGCGAGTCGATGCTAAGTGCGCGCGCGGTTAGCGAGATCGTGGTTAGAGCGATTGTTTGTGTCTGCGACTCAGCGAGTTGTCGCGTCTCTACTCTCTTTTTATATCGTTGTTTTTTGGAGTTTTTCCGATCGGAAGGGGTGCCTGGCAACAGGTTTCCCCGGTCGAGAATCTAGGTGCAAGCGAAGCAGATTCAAAGTCCTTCTGTTTTGCTTGCACGTTGACCAATTTCTGTTCCGCGTATATCTCGCATTGTATGCGTTTTTAACGCGGTCATTATCTGTCGTAATTCTGATTTCGCGTATACCTCGCATCGTATGCGTTTTTTAACGCGGTCATTATCTGTCGTAATTCTGATTCCGCGTATACCTCGCATCTTATGCGTTTTTTAACGCGGTCAGTGTCTGTCGTAATTGCGGATGTAATACGAGTACTCATTTCTTAATATTAGTTACCTTTTAATAGTTATATCTATATCTTTGGGGGATATAACAGAATATTGCTTTCAATTTTTGTAACTTACTTAAGAAACATCCAGCATATATCAATGTTATTTTGAAAATTGTATTCCATGCATCATTTATGTTTATTGGAAATGCAGAACACATAACATGGTAATTTATGTAAAAATCACACTAAAGTATATAAGGTGTCTCATTTTAATTGCGCACCTCGATTATCATCGTAAAAAGTAATGGGATGAAAAAATGTTTAAGACAAAAGTTATTAGGTTTTCAAGAAGATATCCGATGGCAACTTTGAATTTATCATAAATGGCATTGTTCAAAATAACCTCGAGCGGAAAGTAAAATTCGAGTTGTTTTAGGTCCCATACATCTAGAATATTGTAAAAACTATAGTGTACTATAGAATATATAAAAACTATACTTTTTCCTGGAAATGCAGAAAACATTTAAATATCATCATATGTTTAGAGAAAATCACGTAAATCCATATCTCAACAAATCGAGATTTCTTGATGTTTCACCCAAATATTTTGGTAAATATTTTGGTAATACCAAGTTTCTAAAATTATTTAAAACAATTTTTTTTTTTAATGTGTCAGTTTATCATAAATTGAATAATATATATACAGAGTGTTCCTAAAGTCCGACTTGGTGAGTTGTAAAATTTTGAGGGGGACATAAGATCGTACCATTGATTTGACCTTGAATAGTCATTTAAAGGTCACGTAAAAGTCACCTTCAATTTCTTTAATGGGACTACCTATTTTTCATTACATATTCTTATATGTTATTTCAAAAGCTTCACAAAACTCTATATTAAAATATGTTTTTATGAAGTTCTTGTTAAGTTATAAAGGTTTAAAGTTAACAATTTTTTGACATAAAATGTAAAATATCTTGTAAAATATTCGGGTTTTAGTACTCGTACCATAATACTGTTTTGCATGGAATAATGAGACCAATCAGTTGGTGTAAAAAAACATAATTACTTATAAAAAAAAGTATGCAGCTGCATGTTGAATATTACATTTTTTTAAACAATTATCAGTTGATTAGTCTCATGATTCCGTGCAAAAAAATGTAATAAGGTATGATTACCGAAAACTGAATATTTTATAAGATATTTTATATTTCATGTCAAAAAACTGTTAACTTCAAACCTTTATAACTGTTTCGTGGTTACAGCGACGATCAGAGAATAGCCAATCGTGAAATATAAGTATTGCTCGAGAACATGGTCTTACGCGATTCGCGGCTGAAAATACGTGGGGATAGCCCCAAAATATAAATAGAGGAGCGAACGCTTCTCCGGTACACTTCCTTTACTTACTTCTCCGCAATAACACACACATCACTGCGCGTATATCGTCAACAGACTTCTGTACTTCGACGAGCGGCACACTCGGACGCCGCAATAATAACCTGTGTTACAAGAAACGGAACATAGTAGTTATTCCGCGTGTGGATATCACACACGGACCCATCTATCCAGCGTTACATTCTGCATTAAGAGGAACGACCTCACGGCTGGAACATCATCTCGTTAGCAATCAAACGTTGAGCAGAGAACGCGCCGGCTTACAACCGGCGCACCAATTCTCATACTATTAAACAATTTGATCCTTCGAGCCGGATATTTTCCGGAGGCGGCGGGCGTCTCGGAGGAGGCGAAACCGACTCGAGTCGGAGTACGGATAAACGGCGAGGGTGTCGGCCACGTACCAGGGCGGCAGTCAGTGTGACACGGTGGACGTGGAGGACGGTGACCGGGGCTGCCGAGCTGCACGCAGGGAGAGACGATATTCGTCGGAGCGGCACCTCGAGTGGCGGCGTAGCGCCGGGCAGAGAAGAGGAAGCGTAGCTGGGTAAGCTGTAATTGAGCCTGCACCAATCATTTTTTTGCGCTGCGCAATTATTTTATTTATTTATTTATTTGTAAATACTCGATTAGCGTTAGTCACTGTAAATTATTTGTGATCCGAAAAAATGCCGATCGACCGTAGCCCTGGTACAAGTGGCGCGGGTGCGGCGACGTCAAACGTAACGGCATCGGAGGTAGCGGCGCTGTAAAGAAGGCGCGGAATAATAAAGGGCTCGTGCACGCGGATGGAAACATTTGTGAACAGCGTGATCGCGGTAGATGACGAGGCACGAGCGCAATTGGAAGTGAGGCGCGCGCGCTTAGACCCAATATGGGAAAACTACTGCAAGGTGCAGTCGCAATTAGAGGCAACAGACGAGGCCGAGATAGATGACAGAGTCGCGTTCAAAGACAACATATATTCGTTGTGCGCGAGAATGCGGCGATTATTACAAAATGACAGCGATTATTTCAAAATAGTCCGCGGGCCTCCACGCCAGGATCAACGCGATCCGAGAGTGAAGCTGCAACACACGTCCGCTTACCGAAATTAAATTTACCATCGTTTTCGGGAAAGTACGAGGAATAGTTCCCATTCCATGACACGTTTATGTCGGTCATACATAACAACAAAACATTATCCGATATACAAAGATTTCAATATTTGCGAGCGTCGTTGACGGGTTCAGCTCTCGACATCATCAAAACATTAGAGATCTCGAATAATAACTACGACCTTGCGTGGAATATTCTAAAAGACCGTTACAACAACAAGCGTGTAAACGTGCAGACACATATAAAGGCAATATTCGAATTAGCGGCAATTACAAAAGAAAGCGCGAGTGGCATTCGGCAGCTGGCGGACGGTGCAGCGGCACACGTACGCGCGTTGACTGCATTGGACTGCAACGCCGACAAATGGGACGCGTTGCTAATGGACATAATTACGTCCAAATTAGACCACGTAACATCCAGGGAGTGGCATGCTTCCCTGGGGGGCTCGGAGTTGCCCGCCTTCAAGGAATTGATTGATTTTCTCGCCCATCGTAGTCAGATTTTAGAGAAGTCGGCTGGGGGGGGATTAGGCGCTTCCGAGCACTCCAACATTCGTTCGCGGGCGCGATCGACTTCGGGGCGGCACGCGCTGCATGCGACGGTCGAGGGGGAAAAGTGCACTTATTGTGGGAGTGCGCATTTGATCTACTTTTGTAGAGGCTTCTTAGCACTTCCGGTAAACCGGCGCATAGGTGAGATGCGCGGCTGAAAACTTTGTTTGAATTGCTTGCGTAGCCGTGATCACGTGGCGGCCGAGTGCTCGTCGAGCGGCTGCAGGACATGCAAGCTGAAGCACAACACGTTGCTACATCTCTCGAATCAGGGAAGGGGAATCGAGAATTCGCGGACCGTCGGCTCAACGACGGACAATTCGACTCCGATCGCGAGCGACCCTACCGCCGTGGTCGCACACGGCGCGGTCGGGGGGGACGGTGCGGAGCCCTTGCTGTCGACAGCGGTTGTGTACGTTTACGGCGCAGGCGACTCACGAGTGGCATGCCGTGCCTTGTTGGATGCAGAAGCACAGGCGAACTTTATTTCGACTAAATTCGTAGCGAAATTAAAATTAGAGACATGGTCTATGGAAATGTCAATGTCGGGCATATTCGGCTCGACATCCGTTTTGAATCGGATGGCGCGAGTCAAACTCCGGTCGCGACTGAGTTCGTTCGAGGCCGAGCTGGACTGCGTTGTCACCGATCAAATCGCAGATAGAGTTCCGGCGAGCACGCTGAAGCGTCAGGCCTTCAGGCTGCCGACCGGCATCGATCTAGCGGACCCGAAATTCAACGTGTCTTCCGACATCGATTTATTAATCGGAATCGATCTGTTTTGGCAGCTGGCGTGCGTGGGCCAAATTCGTGCGACATTCGAGCATCCTCTTTTGCAAAAGACACGTTTGGGCTGGATTTTGGCCGGGCGTACGGGTGGTGGCACCTCGCGATCGAGCGCCAAATTGCGTGCGTTACACGCGACGATTAGTAATTCGCAGCTCCACGAACGAGTTAATCAATTTTGGCAAATCGAGGAACTGGCGGGTTCTAACAGTTATACCCGCGACGAGCAGGCGTGCGAAAGTCACTTCATGATGAACGTGTCGACGAACGATGAAGGCCGATATGTAGTGAAATTGCCGCTAAAAGAGGACACATTTCAACGGCTCGGCAAATCGCGCAAAACAGCGATAAAGCGTTTTCTTGCACTCGAGAAGCGGCTTAACCGCAACCCGGGTTTAAAGCGCTCTTACGCGAATATCAATCGTCGGGGCACATGAGAGTCGCACCTGCGGGTTCGATCGGGGGTAAGCCTATCTATCTGCCGCATCACGGGGTAAAAAAGGGGACCGGTCCATGCGCGAAGTTACGCGTGGTTTTCGATGCCTCGTGCAAAACCAGCACGGAAGTTTCGTTCAACGAGGCTTTGCGAATACGTCCGATTATTCAGCAGGAATTGATCGCAATATTAATGCGTTTTCGATATTCGTGTATGTCTTCGTGGCGGACATAATTAAAATGTATCGTCAGATACTGCTGCACGAATCGCAGACACATCTGCATAGAATAGTGTGGTGAGAGGACTCGGAAGCGCCGATCGGCGAATACGAGCTGCTGACGGTCACGTACGGTACGAGTCCGGCGTCATTCCTGGCCACCAGGTGCCTTCAGCACCTGGCACAAAAGTATGCGGACGAGTACGCGATCGGGTCAAGGTGCGTGCTCCGGGATTTCTACGTCGACGACCTGCTCACCGGCGCTAACACCCTGCCGGAGGTGAGGCGCGTCCGCGGGGAGACGGTTGCGCTACTGAAGCGCGGAAAATTCGAGCTCGACAGGTGGGCATCCAACTGCCGAGAATTGTTGCAGGACGTAGAGGACGCGACGGATGCGAGCGTGTCTCTGGGCGGGGACTCGAGCTCTAAGATCCTGGGAATTACGTGGGATCCCATTATTGATAGCTTCAAATTCGACTATAAGAGCGGCTCGCCTGCCAATTGCGTAACCAAGCAAACTATTTTATCGGAGATCGCGAGCCTTTTTGATCCGTTGGGGCTACTGGGGCCATTGACGGTAGTAGCAAAGTTAATTCTGCAAGACACATGGCAGACGCAGGTTGGATGGGATGAGTCGCTGCCGCAGGACATCCATACGCGTTGGCTGGGAGTAAAACAACAATTAACAAATCTTAGTGAGTTGCGCGTGCCGCGTTTCGTGGGCCGCGTGATCGATGCCGGGGGCGTGCAGCTGCACGGCTTTTGCGACGCGAGCGAGCGTGCTTATGGTGCGTGCGTGTACGTAAGAACACACAATTCCGAGGAATGCCGAGTACGGTTACTGGTCTCGAAATCGCGAGTCGCGCCCATGAGGGCAATATCATTACCGCGCTTAGAGTTGAGCGCGGCACTGCTGTTGGCAAAATTAATAGAAAAGGTTCGAGAATCGGTCGGGCTTACCGCCGCGGGGGTGGTTCTGTGGTCGGACTCCACCATTACCTTACAATGGATTCGTTTTTCGTCTCGCAAATGGAGCGCGTTCGTCGCGAACCGAGTTGGAGAAATACAGCGTTTGACCGAGGGCGCGGATTGGCGACACGTGCCGTCCGCGGACAACCCGGCCGATATATTATCGCGTGGCGCGGACTTGGCGACTCTGGCCGTATCTGGTCTGTGGTGGGAAGGACCGGCGTACCTTCGACTTAACGAGGGACATTGGCCGATTAAGAACGTCGAGATATCAGGAGAGCTGCCCGAGCAGAAAAGAGTGATCGCTGTCGTGGCGGTCGGAGATCGACCGATAGTCTCGGGGTTATTAGAAAAATTTTCGAGCCTGGAGAAAATACTATGCATAGTGTCATATTGTTTGAGATTCGGTCGTGCGCGACGGGCTGAGGACATTGGGTCATCGATCTCTCATCAGGAGATGATCGCGGCCATGCAGGTCGTGGTACGTTGTGTGCAGCGCGGGTCGTTCCCAGGAGAGTATTGCCGTTTGAGCGAGGGCCAGAGCATCGGCAGCGGGAGTCGTATATTATCATTGTCACCATTTATGGACGAGTGTGGCGTCATTTGCGTTGGAGGTAGGATAAGCAGGGCGGCGTTGCCGCCGGATACGGTGCACCCCATGCTGCTGCCGAAAAGTTACGTTCTTACAACATTAATTGTTCAAGGAGAGCACGTTAGGAGCTTGCACGCGGGACTGCAGGCCACGACATGCGCGGTGCGTCAGCGCTATTGGCCCTTGGCGGCACGTTCAGCGGTTCGCAGGGTGTTGCGCGAATGCGTAACGTGCTTCAGGTGTGGGCCGGCAGCATCTCAGGCGGTGATGGCGGATTTGCCTGGACCACGGGTAAACGTGTCAAGGCCATTCACGCATACGGGCGTAGACTATGCCGGCCCGATACTTATAAAGGAATCTAAGCGGCGCAACGCCGGGATGCTGAAGGCTTACATCGCTGTTCTCGTGTGCTTTGCGATCAAGGCTGTGCATTTGGAGATCGTAAGCGATCTCACGGCGGACGCCTTCTTGGGGGCGTTTAAAAGATTCATGTCGCGAAGAGGCAGGCCGGCGTGCGTGTACTCCGACAATGGCACGACATTCGTCGGAGCCAATAAGCAAATTAGGGAAATATATGAAATAGTCAATAGCCCTGAAGGGCAGGAAAAAGTGCGTCAGTTCGCGCGGCGGAACGAGTTTGTTTGGAAATTTATACCGCCCCATGCCCCACATTTCGGGGGGCTATGGGAAGCAGCGGTGAAATCCGCGAAAATACATTTGAATCGCGTGGTCGGAAACGCGAACCTCACTTTTGAAGAAATGCAGACGGTCCTGTGTGAGATAGAAGCCGTACTAAATTCGCGACCATTAACAGCGCTAAGCGAGGATCCAAACGATCTCAACTGCATAACTCCGGGTCATTTTTTGATTGGTGCAGCGCTTAATAGCTTCCCAGTTACAGATTTGACAGCGGAGAATCCGGGACGACTGTTACGCTGGCAGCGCGTGGAACAGATGCGCCAGCATTTTTGGAGACGCTGGAGTACGGAATATTTGCACACTCTCATCGAGCGGAGGAAGTGGAAAGCTAACCAGGGGCAGCAATTAAAAATTGGTCAGCTTGTATTAATTCAGCAGCCAGGACTAGGACCATTGCAGTGGTTATTGGGCCGAGTTGAACGAGTGCATCCGGGCGCTGATGGTGTTGTCCGAACGGTCACGTTAAAGACGGCACGAGGACAAGTCACAAGGCCCCTGACAAAACTGGCAATATTGCCAATAAATGACACGGACAAACCCACGATCGATTAAATTATTTGTACGCGCGTTCCTTCTACGCTGTACTTGTTATGCATGTGGCACGATGCGCGCCTTTTTATTTATTTTATTTATATTGTTTAGCGTTGCATTCCGTTTCTTTTTTTTATTATTGTAAAATGCGCGCTATATTTATTTTATTATTTTGAATCGTTTAGCGTTGCGTTCCGTTTCTTTTTTATTGTAGAATGTGTTTCGTTTAATCTTTACTCAAGCATTTCTTTCGTTGCATGTGCTTGTTGCGTATCTTTACTTCATTCTGCGACGCACTGGGCGCGATTGCTTCCATTCGTTGTTGAATTCATATCACGCCGCTTGACACGTTCCCATTATTGATTGTTAAACAGGGCTCCATAACGAAATCTTCATTACAACGTAAATTTCATAAATCGACTGGTTGCGGAGCTTAATTTGAAGACATGACCTTCAAGGGGGGCGGGATGTTTCGTGCTTACAGCGACGATCAGAGAATAGCCAATCGTGAAATATAAGTATTGCTCGAGAACATGGTCTTACGCGATTCTCGGCTGAAAATACGTGGGGATAGCCCCAAAATATAAATAGAGGAGCGAACGCTCCTCCGGTACACTTCCCTTTACTTATTTCTCCGCAAAAACACACAACACTGAGCGTATATCGTCAACAGATTTCTGTACTTCGACGAACGGCACACTCGGACGCCGCAATAATAAATCTTGTGTTATAAGGAACGGAACATAGTAGTTATTCCGCGTGTGGATATCACACACGGACTCATCTACCCTGCGTTACATCCTGCATTAAGAGGAACGGCCTCACGGCTGGAACATCATCTCGTTCGCAATCAAACGTTGGGCAGAGAACGCGCCGGCTTACAACCGGCGCACCAGTTCTCATACTATTAAACAATAACTCAACAAGAACTCTATAAAAACATATTTTAGTATAGGGTTTTGTAAAACTTTTGAAATAACATACAAGAATATGTAATAAAAAATAGGTAGTGTTCAAAACGCATCAGAAAATATTATCCGCATAATAGAATATTATATTCGAACAGAATATTTTAGAAGATTCTAGACCAATCGATATTTTCAGCAAATCGTTTTTGTATGTTTTTCGAGGAGAAAACACAGCGACATAAATCAATCTGTTTCGGAAAAAACCGCTCAAAACATCAACAATTAACGGTACCACAACCGTTCCGCCGAATAATTATTTTTCAGTGAGCATGCGCGGCTTATCACGGGCGCCTCTTTTCACCAATAATTATCGCGATCGCCCGCTCGCGCATGCTTTCTGCCAGCCGTCGTCCCGTTAATTTTGACAGCGGCCAATTACGCGTAATGCGCTCAGGTCACCTCGCGCAACGTTTGAAATCCGCAAAACTATTGGCGCTTCACGCGAAGGTGGGCTCCATCTTAAAAATTATAAAAGAAGAGCTCACACCCGGCTTAGCAGCCTTATCGCTTTTCCGCCGTGAACCGCATAACGCAAACCGCATACTTGATAAACCGCTAAAATTCGTTGACGACCGCCGCTTATTCCGCATTTTGATTTTGATTACGATTTCAATGTAAAATAATTAACATTTGTATGAAGTTTGTTAAAGTGTATTTGTTATTAAGTGTGTTAGAGAATTAAAGTCTTTTGATAAAAAAGTGACTCATCCTTTGTGCCGCGCAACCCTTTCTTACGCAGCGCGTTCGCGAACAGGTAGTTTCATTTAAAAAGTTGAAGGTGACCTTTATGTGACCTTCACATGACTATTCAAGGTCAAATCAATGGCACGATCTTATGTTCCCCTCGAAATCCTATAACTTTTGTTTGAAACATTTTTTCGTATCTCAAGTCGTTTCCAATATAAAGAGCCCGGGTCGGACATTAGACACTCTATATATATATATTATTGACCGACATTAAAATTGGTTTAAATGATCTTGGAAAGTTGATGTTACCAAAATATTCACCAAAATATTCGACTGAAACATCAAGCAATCTTGATTTATTGTGAGATATCGATTTATGTGATTTTCTCTAAACATATGATATTTAAATGTTCCCTGCATTTCTAGGAAAAACCACTATGGTTTTTACATTATTCTAGATGTATGAGACCTAAAACAATTCAAATTTTACTTTCCGCTCGAGGTCAAAAAAATCGCACTTTTTGGACATTCTCCTTTAATTTCAAGGTTATCAATTTTTCAAATAGAATGATCTATTTTTGACATCGAAAATTGATATGGAAATTTTACATTAAAAACATAAGATAATATGTGGGATCAGATTGACTTCTAAAGGACATTTGACTGGCTCTCATTTACCAATCTTGATTAGCCAGAACTGTCAGTTTCGTTCATCAAACTAATTTACACACAAGAAAACAAGATGACCTTTAGGGATCAATCTAATCTCACATATTCCCAAATAGTTCTAAAATGTGAAATTTCCTCCTCTATCGATTTTCAATATTAAAAATAGGTTATTCCATTTGAAAAAAATTAATCTTGAAATAATCTTGAACAAGGTAAATCTATCATAAACTGAAGGTTACCTTTTTTCATCCGACTACTTTCTACAATAATAATTGAGGAGCATAATTAAAATGATACCCCGTATATATGAGGAGTATATGTATATCCGTAAAAAAGACATCACAGATATTTAAAAAAAGGGCTAAGTATATCTTTCGTCAAAAATTAACAAAAATTAAAATTATTGTGTCTTCAGTTCTTTATATTCCATATAGCTAATTACATCCAAAACATCCTCACAAAAAGTTTACCACGAGCAGCCACGTTCAAAATTTCGAACTGTACAGGATTCTTTCAAAATTAAAAATAGATCCTTCTTACAATTTGGTGTCCCTTGATGTGGTCTCGTTGTTTACTAATGTTCCTGTCGATTTAGCATTTCGAAGTTATTAGCAATAGATGGTCATACATAAAAGATAATACCAAAATACCAAAAAAAGAATTTTTAGATATGATAGAGTTCATTCTTACATCTTCATATTTTTGTTTCAACAATGTGATATACAAACAAATTTTTGGTACTCCCATGGGATTACCATTATCCCCCATAATAGCGGACATTGTACTTTAAGATTTTGAAAACAAAGTTTTAAACAAGAAAGATATAAATCTCTCTTTATTTCTCAGATATGTAGATGGCATTCTTTTAATGGCTCCAAAAGATACTATTCACCAAATTATTAAGATTTTTAACTCATTCCATGCAAGAATCCAGTTTACGTGTGAATGAGAAGAAAACCAGAACATTAGTTTTCTTGATTTAAGAATTATAATAGAAAATAATAAACTTATTATAGATTAATTTCAAAAAAGATTCAATCAGGCAGATATTTATCATTTCGTTCTAACCAATCCCATCTGCCACAAAATTGGTACAATTTATAATTTAATTGACAAAGCCCTATTGTTATCGCACCCGCGTTTTCACGAAAAAAATATTATTGTAATTATAAACACTTTACTTAATAATAGTTACCCGTTAGAATTTATTTATAAACATAAATAATAGAATCAAAAACTTTTCGCGACTAAATCTACATACAATGGAGGTGAACAATAAGACAGATAGGGAAGGAGAAAACAAAAAATTCATTGTAATTCCGTATATTAAAAACCTAAGTGAATAAGTTACCATCGCTTTTAAAAAAAACTTTGAATACAGGATGGGTTACAAATCTAAAACAGACAAGTCTAAACAGACATAACAGATTCATAAAGGTCCATAAAGATCTCACACCGCTATCCAACAGCAATAACGTCGTGTATAAAATAAACTGTCAGGATTGCGATGCATTTTATGAGGGGCAAATAAAGAGACAAGTAAAAAACAAGAATACATGAACATAAAACTAATATGAAGCAAAAACTAATATTAAGAAATATACATCTAAACAAACGGTCGTCTCACAGTACATCACAGAATACAATCACACCATAAATTAGGACCACATAGATTCTTTTTCTTTTTTCTGATGTGGCTGTTTGGGCTTCCTCAGAATAGTCCCATACATCATTAATTGTTCAAGTATATCTGTCAAGTCGTGCTCACAGTACGGAACACAAAGGAACAAAATTTTTTTCAAATGAAACACGTCTGAACGCATCAAAGAACGAATTCCCTTTTAGGACCACATAGAAGTATTAGACCGTGAAATAAACTACTACAAAAGATTAATTGCCGAATCCATACACATTAAGAAACAAAACAATGGATTAAACATAATGAAGGATAGTGATCTTCTTGACGAGGCCTATTTTTCCTCAATAAACTTTTGAAAAAAATAAAATCATCCCAAAAGTTTATTTGTCTCTTTGTCTCTTCACGATGAGATGTATATAAGAATTGAATATCTACGACTAGCTATCATTAGTTCGATCATATAAGAACAACACACACAAAACAGTCTGTAAACATAACAACATTTATAATTTTAAACCAACTTTGACTCTATATATTGCTAACTAATTGTGACAAAGCGACATGAACTTTACCCGAAATTTACATAAACTACAACCTCATGGTGAGTTCTCAACTTTTAAGGTTTAAAGTCAAAAAATTACATTCTTTAAATTATATCTAAAGGTTCACCATATATCGTTGAATCTCGAAGACCACTCCGCTAGAAAAATAACAACTGCATTAAACGTTGCGTATTTCATGTAATATTTTAATTGTTAACGACTAAAGAGATGCAAGTAAGCATCGGAACATTCCGAACTTTGTATTCTTATTAGTATTATGAATAAAAAATATATTTTATTAAATACAAATAAGTAAGGCCTAAGAGCCATTCGCGGATGTTTCTTGCGTACATCTCCAACGAAAATTAATTTTACGTTGGAGATAAACGAAAATGTGCACAAGTCACATATTATATTCTTGGTTTACTATCAAGAATTTAAACATGAAATATCTCATATTTGAGATTTAATTTCATAAACCCCTATACTCCCCAAAAGAAACATATTTTATAACAA